AAACTCAGGCATGAAATGATCAGAGTTTCAGCTAGGGCAGTTGGGAATAAAAATGGAGGGGAGGTAGATTTAACAGCACCTGAGGACAGATGGGGAAGCAGGATATGGAGGGAGAGGAGACCAACAGGTGGACACCAGTGTTTCTAAGATTAGACCACTAAGTTGATGGCGGTTCAACTTCGAGGAAGCAGGAAGAATAGCAGATTAAGATTGTTGGGGGAGAATTTCAGGGATGGCTGAGTGGTGCCATCCAGAAGGTGTCCATCAAGAGATTTGGGTGCATGAGTTTGCACTCTAAGAGAGGTTTGGAATGAGATGCAGATTCAAGAGTCAGCAGCATATAGGTGATGTCCCAAAATCTGACTGTGATTGAGAGTGAAATGAACAGTGAGCCAAAAGAAGGACAGAAGAACCTAGGAGGAGCCTGAGAAGTGGTCAGAGAGCAGGAGGAGGATGGAGAGCTGGGGGGTCTCAGAAGTAGAGCATCTCTTCCTGTGTTTGTCTCCTCCCCAGTGTGACCTGGGGGAGAAGAAATAAGCAAAAATCATCCACTGGGCTAATCGTTAAATCTTTCCTATTGTTCAAGCAAAAAGTTTAGACTTTTTGAAGTCCAAACTTACAGAAGTTTCTAGACTTAGAGAAGTCTTCAACAGTTTGGAAATCACTAGTCCTGGACTAGGAGCCGCAAACCTGGGACGAAGCCCAGCTCTGCCAACACCTGCTGTGTGACTTGGCTAAAGTACTGCCCCTCTCTGGCCTGCATTTCCTCACTGTTGCAGCGAGAGGATTGGATGCCTAATACCTAAGGCCCTTCAGGGAAATGAGCTCTTAGTAATTTATGGGAAAACTGGAAGCAGAGTTTATGCTTCAACATCTGGAAAATGACTCTGCTTTCCCCACGATGAAGATGTGTCCTTGCTGACACTGAATTTGGCTCGGGGAGAGTAGAGGTTTGTAAACATTCACTTTTCCTTAAACAGACATTCACGGATTAGTATGTAAGTCTTCCAAAGTGGTGAGTCCAACCAACATATAAAAGGGCAATAATGAAGCAAAAATTGAGCTTTTCCAATCTGGTGGTATCCCACCCTGAGCTGTGTGCCCCCACCAGGGATTTTGTGAGCCGAAGAATATTCTGAGATGGCCTCCCTCTGCTTCTGTCTGTGTGGTCACCTTAACCCTAATAAGTTCTTATATTCATGGCTACTTAAACAGGGAACTTAATTAAACCTTTGCGTAGGTGCGTGAAGTGTGTCGGGTGTGGGTGTGTGAGTGTGTGGGCTCTTCCTACCCACCGTAACCCATCTCAAAGAGTACAGCTTCCCTTTGATTCAAAGCTATGGGATTGCACATACGACTAACTAGTAAGTAACCCACATAGAATCATACTGAAAAGTGCATTGTAAGATTTTCTGTTGCAACCCTCAAGCCTTTATTCAGACCGGTTATCATTTTTAAGATATTTTTAAAATATTTTTGTTTTGAAATAATTACAGAGTCACACGCAGTTGAAAGAAATAGCACAGAGAAATCCTTTATATCCTTCACTCACCTTCTCCAAGTGATAACATCTTGCATAACTCTAGTATAATATCATAACCAAGAAATGAATACAAACCCTTACCTTATTCAGATTTCATCAGTTTTATAAGAACTGATTTGTGTGTGTAAGTGTGTGTGTATGTGTGCATTTACGTCTATGCAGTTTTTTTTTTTAATTTTTTTTTCAACGTTTATTTATTTTTGGGACAGAGAGAGACAGAGCATGAACGGGGGAGGGGCAGAGAGAGAGAGGGAGACACAGAATCGGAAACAGGCTCCAGGCTCCGAGCCATCAGCCCACAGCCCGACGCGGGGCTTGAACTCCCGGACCGCGAGATCGTGACCTGGCTGAAGTCGGACGCTTAACCGACTGTGCCACCCAGGCGCCCCACGTCTATGCAGTTTTAACACATGTAAATTTATGTGACTACTGCCACAATACAGAATAGTTTCATTACAAGGACAACTCGTGCCATGCTTTTGGACCTGCCTTCCACCTACCAACCTAACCCCTGGAAATCACTAGCTTGTTCTCTATCTCTAATATTGTGTCATTTGTAATATAAATATATTGCAATATATGTAATAAAAATATATAAATGTAATCACAGAGGACATAACCTCTTGAGATTGGATTTTTTTCATTCAAGGTATTTCCCTCAAGAATACATCCAAATTGTGTGCATTCAAGTGTTTGTTCTATTTCAGTGCTGGGTAGCATTCCACGGTATTTACCAGTTTGTTTAACCATTCACTCATTGAGGGATATTTGGGTTGTTCCAGTTTTTTGCTAGTATGAATGAAGTTCTACAAACATTCTCCTACAGGATCTTGTGTGAACACAAGTCTTCCATTTCTCTGGGATAAATGTCCAGGGATGCAATTGCTGGGTCAGGGGGTGGTTGCATGTTTGTTTGTTTGTTTGTTTTAAGGAAACTATCCACCTGTTTTCTGTAGTGGCTGTAGCATCTTGTCCTCTTACCAGCAGTGTTACCTGCGGCCAACTTCCCCACATCCTCCCCATTGATTGGGCGCTGCCACTGTCTTTAATTATATCTGTTCTGAGAGACCTGTAGTAACATCTCATTGTGGTTTTAGGTAACAATTCTCTGATGGCGAATGACGTTGAACATCTTTTCATGTGCTTTTTTGTCATCTGTACATCCTCTGCAGTGAAATGAGATTTCATGTTTGTTTGTTTTCTGTCGTTATTTTTTATTGTTGAGTTTTGAGAGATCTTCATGTATTCTTTGTACAAGTCCTTTGTCTAATAAAGATTTCCTTCCATTCTGTAGTTCATGTTTTCATTCCCTTCAAAGCTATCTCTCACAGCAAAAGGTTTTAATTTTGGTGAAGTCCAGTTTTTCAGTTTTCCCTTTTATGTATGATGTCCTTAGTGTCAAATCTATGAACTCCTTGCCTAGCCCCAGGTCTCCAAGATGTTCTCCTATGATTTTTTTTCAAAAAGTTGTATAGTTTTACATTTTACATTTCAGTCTGTGATCCATCTGAGTTAGTATTTGTATAAAGTGTGAAATTTACATTGAGCCTCTGCTCTTTGATCAGCATGTTGTGATTTTCAGGACACAGATCTTGCATGTGTTTTGTTAGACTTATGCCTAAGTAGTTCTTTTCCTTTGGAATAATTCTAAATGTTCTTTTTTTTTTTTTTTAATTAATGAGCATTCTCTCAGAGACCTCCTCCCACACACAAAACAATAAAAGCCCATAACCAAACAAAGAAATGAAGGGTTGAAAACAGACCTCAAGGCAATCAAATTGTAGTTGATTCTTTGTTTGATAATCTACCTTCCTGTGTGAAGGAGCTGTCTTCTAATGAGGCTGGCCACACACTGGAACCATGCTTCACCCAGGAGCCCTCGTTCTTGGGGTCTTTGATTCAGTATCTGACTCAAATCACCTTCAGCTAGTTTTTCACTTCTCTGAGGTTCAATTCCCTCTTGTAAATGAAAATAACAATGCTTTCTTTAGAAATAATGCCGAGAAGATGCAATTAAATGAAATGAAAGAACATATGTGAAAGTATCTGGCACACAGATCACATAATGATCAAGAAATATTTCCTCTCTTCTCTTTCCTTCCTCTCTCCCTTTTTATTTACTTCTCTTTTCTTTCTCGTGCCTTCCATTCTCTTTCCTTCCATTCCTGCTTTATGCCCCCTTGCCAATTCCCTATGGTGGGTGTAAGCCTTGGTTCTGGTAGGGTTGACTAGGTAGGGTTGACTAGATGAATAGGAGGCTGACCCCTGTACCCAGCTAGTCCCCCATAATTCCTCCTCCCTTTCCACCATACATGATTCTGCTGGATGACAGAACAGTGAGGATTAGTAAATTAAGAAGTCTGTTTCTTCTATTTAAATTCATAATGCTAAGCAATTCCATGGGTTTTCATGTCTGATGATGAGCCACCTTTCTGCGTTTTCATGAAAGGCAGGTGGTCTGTGGTGGTTAATTAGCATGTGTGTGGGGGGGGGGGACCTGGAAGTGCCTTTAACAGGCAACTGAAGCCTCTCAGGCCTTGTTTGCTTTGGGTGTGGCCTTAGCAAAATGCAGAGTAGTGGAGAAGCAAGTTCATAGTTTGATGTAGAGATTGTCTTGAACTTCTTGGACTGAGGCCAGAGTGATAGACTCAGTTTAGAGTAGATCAATGGAAGTAGTCATTCTCCAGGTAGAATCCACCCTGGAGGAAGGCCAGCTTGATATAGAGACCCCAAAGAAATGGGGCAAGGGAAAAGGAACATCTCCTTTAGAAATTCAAATAAAGATGATTATCTGTCCCCCTCCATTTGACAAGTGTTCAGCCAGTTAATTTGGAACAAGCCCTCTCTTCCCATCCTGGGTCGTAACAATGGCCCAAATAGATTATTCAGCAGCCCTTGAAATTGCAGGCTGAGGGCATCCAATGCAGCAACCTAATTGTTGTCAGACAGCTAATGATTCCAACTGGTTAGAAGCCTAGAGAGATTATGTCATCCTCTGCCCTTCATCCGCAGATGTGAGACCAAAATGGAAACCCAGGTTGTAGGAGTTCTCATGCAAGGAAGAAGCTTTTTGTTGAAAATCATTTTCTGTTGTTGCATTAGACGTAAAAATGCCTCTTTGGAATCGTAGTGGCTTAGGAAGCAGAGTGCTGCTAGAGATGTGATTTCAAACAGCTCTTGGTCTTGGCTAATGCAGTTTTAATTTTTCTTCAAGGGCTACTTGTTCCAGTGATAATTTCTGTCCTGCACTTCTGCCCTTCAGATTCTTTTGATAAAAGTCATGAGGGTGATGGTATTTAGAGCCGGGAGTAAGTTGGCCTCTGCCAGATTCCTGCCTAACAGATAGCTGAGGTGCCCACCCAGAGCTTGTCACACTTGGTTGCTTCTAAGAGCTTCTGTGATGAGCCCTGAGCACAGTAAACTCACCCATGCCAATCTCTTCCTCTTCTTTCTCTAGCAAGGATTGAAAATAGTTCACCATGCAGAGAAGACACTGTCCAGCTTCTGTAAGTGGCAGAAGAGCATCAATCCCAAGAGTGACCTTAACCCTGCCCATCATGACGTGGCCGTCCTCCTCACCAGGTACCCCAGGGACTATAGGAAGCCAGGGGCTGCGAAGCAGGGGGGCTGGCAGGTGAAAGAGTTGTCCCCTATTCAAACCCATGAGAGTCTCCTACTCTTTGCCGCTTTTGATCATTTTTAAAGGCAACATCTACGATCTAGACAACTCGTGATGTCCATACCAGTGAGGGGGCAATTATTAAACGTGTGTGACAAAACTCTCCATGTTAATAAACTGTTGGCAAAAATCTGTTGGCAAAATGCAGGCCTTTTTCATATCCCAGTGATGATTTCATCTTTAAAATTGGCTTTTTCATGCAGCTCTATAAGCTCAGGAAGATTGTTTACAGATCCTTGTTAAAGACTCCTGTAACTTTTAAGCCTGGGCTTTCCAATCCTTTATTTTCTTCTTGAAATTTTTACTCCAGTTTAGAAACATGCAACCTTCTCTACAGAAATCAGTCCTTCTTGTAACCCATCCCTGCCTGATGGTGAGGACAGAATATGGGCGGCCGGCCCTTCCCTGAATACACAGAGCAGTTTGCTTCTCCCTTTATTCTCATGAAGATACTATTTTGTTCTGATGACAGACAGACCCTGTGGTGCTAATAAAAACCATCAACCTTCCAAGACTTATAGCTGTGAAAGGCTAATGAACTTTTCTGATCAACCCACGCTCTTGGAGGCTATGTTTGCTCACTGATTCAATAAATACTTATTGAACACCTGCCAAGCATCAGACATTATTTTATTTTGTCTTATTTTATTTTATCTTATTTTATTTTAATTTTGAGAGAGAGGGAGAGAGAGAGATAGGGAGAAGGAGGGACAGAGAGATAGGGAGAGAGAATCCGAAGCAGGCTGCATACCATCAGCACAGAGCCCGACACGGGGCTCAAACCCATGAACCATGAGATCATAACCTCAGCTGAAATCAAGAGCCAGACACTTAACCAACTTAGCCACCCAGGCACCCCCAGACATTATTTTAAATGAAGTCTTTCATTAACGGGGGAGTTAAATTCTCATGGGGAACTCCTGTGCAGATTCGGAGACATCAGGAAATCGAGGGATGTGTAAATAGAAGAGTCTGCTCGGCCTGGCTTGTCAGCCACAGAGAACTCATGCACTGGAAGGCCCTGTGTGTGTGTGTGTGTGTGTGTGTGTGTGTGCACGCGCGTGTGTTCTCCCCAGGGAGGGCAGGCTGCCCCTGAACATTTTGGCCTGTCACTGGTCCCTTTAGTATCCTGATGCATGGGGTGCCCGCAAAGGATGATAACCAACTTTCACTCCAACCGTCAGAGTCATTCTTTTGGATGAAAGTATCAAAACTTCAGTTGAATGCAAACAGTTTTCAAAAGAAGTTTGTGGAATAAACCTATTACATTAGATTCATATTAGGGTCTGTGACATCGGTAGCTCTGCTGGGAGGTAGGTTAGTGTGGGTGTGGAACGTAAACACTGGGGCCCTGGCCGGGGTGGGGGGCAGGGGATGGGGGAGCAACACACAGGCAGGGAACACTGAGGACCTGAGCAAGAAGCCAGGGGAAGACTTCAGTCCAGGCAGGACCTAGCTGTAGGGAAGAACCCTGGATTCAGGACCACTGTTAGAAACTGTGTCACCTTCCTCTCTTTCCTTGCCCTGAAAGCAGATATCATTTCTTCTCTCATTCACATGAGGAAATGAGTGAATTAATGATAGCTGGCGTTTGTGGAGTGTCTGATGTAGCACTGTGCTACATCTATTAGAACAATCATTATTCCATTTAATCTACACAACAAGTCTGGTAGTTGAACTACCATCAATTATTCCCATTTTATAGATGGGGAAACTGAGGCATGGTTATATCACTTGCCTCAAATCTCATTTCCATTAACAAGTACAACTAAGACTTAAATCCAGGTAGTTTGACCCTGATAGTTGTACTCTTAACTATTACCCATAAGAATATGAAGGATCTGTTCTCTTACTATATTTTTTTTCTTATTATGACAATTTTTCTTCCTTTAAACAAGGGCCTGGTTTCAGTATATGATGAACCTCACCAACTCCTGAAGAGTGGAGAGTATTTCAAATGCTAAAGCAGGATTTCTTACCCTCAGCATCTTGAGTTGGGTAATTCTTTTGTTGTGCAGGGCTGTCTGTGTGCTGAGGTGTATTTAACAGCATCTCTTGCCTGTATCCATGAGACGCCAGTAGCACCCTCCTACAAGTTGTGACAACCCAAACTGTCTCTAAGAGTGGGTGGGAGCAAAATCAACCCCTGTTGGGAACCTCTGGTTTGAAAAACAGGCAGGACCAGGGAGGGAGGTATGTGACTTGCCTATGGATGACTGTGCTGAGATCCATTCAACAGGGTTCTCTGCAGAGTTTCATTCAGTAGAAGGTGGATTTGGCTTAAACATACCGCATGAAGCAAGGCTAGTAACTGCATACCAAGGCATGTTTTCTCTTATACAATATCCAGTGCATGGTGAGGGTAGAGCTAATCTGCTTTGGGGAGCAGAAGCTCCTTGTCTGCAAGACTCATGTTTCTATAATTCTTTTATTACCCCCCCCCCACCTCTTTTTCCTCTTTAGTGCTAGATACTTAGTAGGCAGTTAGTAAACAATTATGTAATGGACTTAACACCTGCCCCATCTGAATGAGAAAGCAGGTAAATTAGCAGTAGACACCAATCTTTTCCCAGCAGCTCCAAGCAACTTTAAAAAAAATGAAATAGTAACAAGTACATTTTGCAGCAGGGGTGGAAACGTTGGTTGGTTGGTCCTCCCACAGACACAGAAATTATTTAGAATGATTGGGCTGTCTGATCCAATCTAGCTCTCCAACACAAACCTACCCAAAAACTATTGCCGTTAGAGTGGGGATCGTGTCAGTTGGCATGCCGTGACATGGGCTGCCACTCTCTCCTATCCCTTTGTCCCAGCCATTGCCTCCTGGAGAACGGAGGACTCGCAGGGGTTTTCAGAGCCTGGATCTTTTCCATGGCCCAGTGGAAACATCAAACAGATCATTAGTTGCCAGAAATGGTACCCACACAAACCTGATGAGTTGAAGGTCTGCAGCTAACAAGCTCAGAACCTTGTTGGCATTTATGCTAGTTATTCTTGGCAAAGAGCTCTTCCTGAATTGAAGAAAACCAGACCAAACCAAGTTAACTCTTGTCAATGACTGAAATAATCCCCACAAAGGTATGGAAGCATATTTTTACATTTAAAAACCATAACCAGTATTTTTTGAGATCCTAAGAGTCTTTATTTGTATGTGCATTCCCTCCAATGTCCCATATAGTTAGGGTAGTGGGGCTGGAGAGCCAACTGTTTGATCTCTAGATGAATTGATGAGATCAATTGCCTTTTTCATGAATAAGCAAAAGTTCTCAGATGCATTTTGAGCACAGAAAAGGGGTTTCATATGTGAGAATGCTCAGCCACTGTTGGTTATCCTTTATTTAAAAGTTCAAATAATCTTCAATTTTCAATCAAACCCTTCTCTTTTTGGCCAAACAATATAATTTAGCATCCTGAGATTAAGGGCAAAAGCAACTCAAAATAAAACCTTTGTCATGGAGTGACTGAATGGCTCAGGTAAGCATCCAACTTGATTTCTGCTCAGGTCATGATCTTGTGGTTCTTGAGATTGACCCCCATGTCAGGCTTCAAGCTGATAGCATGGAACCTACTTGGGATTCTCTCTGTCTCCCTCTCTCTCTCTGCCCTTCCCCTGCTCATGCTTGCTTGAGCTTTCTCTCTCTCTCTCTCTGAAAAATAAATAAATAAACGTTAAAAATTGTCATATTTTCCCACATTTTTTAGGTGTTAGTGAGAGTCAGTAATTAGAGGTGAAATCGTAATAATCTTATGAATTGTGAATTGCTCCCTATGGAGTTTTAAAAATAATTTAACCATGCTTTCCAGACCATATTGAATGTGAACTAATACCCAGATTTTTTCCAGGAGGATTTTTTCAGATGTTTCTTTGGGAGCCTATACATCTCTATTCTCTGCTTTCAGAAAAGACATCTGTGCTAGTGTCAATCGCCCCTGTGAGACTTTGGGTCTGTCCCACCTGTCAGGAATGTGCCAGCCTCACCGGAGCTGTAACATCAATGAAGACTCTGGACTCCCTCTGGCTTTCACAATTGCCCATGAGCTCGGACACAGGTAAAGGGCCAAGGAAACTGAGATCCCCTTGCCATGTTCATGCACCATGTCAGTAGAGGGAAGGGCAAGCACCTTAAATGGGGCATTAGGAGTCAGGTTACACTGTGTCTTGAGACTCACCCTCCTAAACCTCTGCTTCCTCATCTGTAAAGTGGGGATAATCACACACTTCAAAGATTTCAGTGTCTCTTCTTCCCTGACCACTTGTACCTACTACACCACAGAATCAAAGAGGCTACTACAATTTTCTGAATTAGAAAGGGTTGAACACAGGGGCGCCTGGGTGGCGCAGTCGGTTAAGCGTCCGACTTCAGCCAGGTCACGATCTTGCGGTCAGTGAGTTCGAGCCCCGCGTCAGGCTCTGGGCTGATGGCTCAGAGCCTGGAGCCCGTTTCCGA